GGAGCCAGCAGGACCCTGCCAGCCGGTCACCTCACAGGGGCCCGCTCCCCACGGTCGGCCCACGAGGAGCTGGGGTCACCGGGCGGGAGGCTCAGGGTGTGTGGGGCCCCGGCAGCAGCCCAGACACAGCCGAGGGGACCCCAGTCCTTCCGCGGCTCGGGCAGCGGAGGTGACTTTTGGGGTTGTCCCACTAAGTAGGCCTGGACTCCTCCTGGGACCCACAGAACAAGTTTGGCCCAGGGTTTGGGGGGGCAGGGGATAGGCAGACCCAGGTCAGACACACCCCAGTTCGTGGTGGGCGGCAATCCAAGGCCAGGAAGACCTCGGAGAATGGGGGAGCCCTAGGGGGCTATGAGGTGCACTTGGTCCCCCCAAAGCAAGGCTCCCCAAGAGCCCCTCCCAGGGCAGTGGTTCCTGTGGAGCAGTGAGTCCTATACTTTCAACCTGCCTGGCAGGGGGATGATGGGCCAGGAGACGGCGGGGAAACTGAGGCAGGGCAGGACTGTCGCTGGACAAGTCAGCTCAGCGGCCCTGACGGTCCGTCCTAGAGGCTGGGGCCTGAGACCCAGGTGCCGCGGGGCCTGCTCCCCAAGGCCTCTCTCCTGGGCGTGGGGGTCCCTCTGTGGGTGTCTGTGTCCGGATCCCTCTTCTTATGAGGACCCCGGTCACGCTGGGTTAGGGCCACCCCAAGGTCCACATCCTGAGGCTCTAGGGGTGAGGACTCCAACCTAAAGTGTGGGGGGTGGGGATGGGGGGGCAGAACACGACAGTCACCCTTCCAAGACGCGTCAGCAAGGAAGACCCGGGTGCCCACCGGCTGGCTCAGCGGTGAAACGTTGACCTATGACCCCTGCGACTCCCGGTCAGGACACAGGCCCGGGTTTCGGGCTCCATCCCCAGTGCGGGGCATGCAGGAGGCAGCCGGTCCCCGATTCTCTCTCATCACTGATGTTTCTCTCCCTCTCCCTCTCCCTTCCGCTCTGAAATCAATAAAATATATTAAATTTTTTAAAAAAGAGAGACCAGGGAGGCTGCTGCAGGGACAGGGGAGGGTTGGTGGGGGCACATTTGAGAAGTGGGGAGCTCAGAAGTTCCCCAAAGAGAGAAGGGCTGACTCAGAGACCTCGGTGCTGGGCAAGGGAGGGCAGCCCGGGGCCATCGCCCCCACAGTGGGGCCGGGGCTGGGGGTGGAGGCCGCTGGGCCTGGGTGGGAAGACAGTCGGGCTGATGGATGGGGCTGGGGGCCCAGTGGCTGGAAGGCTGTGTGGGAAACAGCTCCGCCAGGGCCGGATCGGGGAGAGGCCAGGGAGGGGCCGGAGGGGATGCACATGCAGGCGCCCCTCCGCATGGACCC